GATTGAATAACTACATCTTAAATGTTACTGCGGTTCAGCATGGGTGTATATCAGATCACTCTGGTCCCTTCAGTGACATCTGATAAAATTGGAACGATATCAGATCACTCTGCACTTTCCTTTTTAGATCAGTGTTGAAGCAATTCCATGAACATGAATTGACGAAATCATTTATGAACATTGTTAATGCGTGAACATTTGACTAACCCTTAGATTGGAGGAGAATTGATAAAATGCATCGAGTAAAGAAACAACCAAGTTTAGAAACTCAATTCTACTAATCAAAAAGAAAAAAGAAAGAAAAAGAAACTCATGTGATGGATGCCACAGTCAAAGTGAATATCATTGCATTTTCTTACAGTTAAGTAAATTTTCTTCACCCAATTACTGTCCCTTTAAAAGGAAAAAAAGACCCTCTGCTAATCTAAGATAGACTATTTGCAGATGTTTTTTTTTTTAAAATAGACTATTTGCAGATGTTGTGATTGGTGATAATGCTTTTATAACTCAACACACTAGCTGCTCCATAGAATATGCAACTATTCTGAAACATATCAAGACAAACTTGTTTCCATTTGATCACAATCCTTTTCAACTTCACGAGCATGATATATCAATCCCAACCATTGGATGTTTTGTGGCTAATTAATTCTACTATTGAACCATTAAAGTTAGACTTGCAATTTTTTTTCATCTCTGTTAACCATGTCAAACTATATGCAGATATTTATTACATTGGTTCTCCTCAAATTTCCTCTGCAATTGATGAGGCAACTTATGAGGTCCTTTGCTTTGTCACGTATGCTTCTCTAGTTTAATAAGACTCCCAAACAGGCCTTAGCTTTCTGCACGGCTTTCTGACAAATGAAGAAATTGAAGGCGCGATAGAGGCAGGCTAGCACTGGGAAAATGTTAGTTTTATGTCGAGATAATTTGCATTAGTTTGTTGGAAACTTGTAATGTGATATGTTAGTGCAAATATTTTCACCTCTTGTGCATATCTTTAGACAGTCTGTTCAAATCATGGATATTACACACATGATACTGAACCGGAACTTTGTTTTTCATGTTGGTCAAGTTAAGTTTCTCAGCAGTGCAGTGATGGAAAATGATTAATCGGTCTCTCCATATTTCTATTTTTTCATCTAGTTTTATTATTATTGTTGTTGTTATGTCTGTAATTGGACCTCCTATATATATGTTGTTGCTATTTGAAATTTGTTGTTTTTCTTAGAAAGAAAAACAAAAAATCTGAAGTTTTTACTTTTTAATCATATGCTACAGATAGTTCAACAATAAGTAAAAAATGAGATCTAAACTATAAAGGCAATGACCATATTGGAAATCTAGGAAAATTCATGTAGTTTTGGGTCCATCAATGGTTTTGGATAGTATAGTATTGTTGGTCAATTGGCATCTTGACCTATGACTTACATGGAGACACTAGCTCGGTTTGTTTTCAAAGATAGAATGGAAAGGATTGATAGTAGGGAATTAATAGTGAGGGGATTGATAGTGAGGGGATTAAGTAAAATTATATTGTTTTGATGATAGTTGTTAGTGTAGAGATTGTTAAGTTATTTTTATATAAATAAATATAAAATAATAAAAATATTAAACATTAATGTTTTAAAAAAAATGCTTAACATGTAAAAAAATTTTAAAAAATAAAATAAAATAAAAAATTTTAGAAAAAAATAAATAAATAAAATAATGATTTTACTTAACAAAAATACAAAAAATTAAACATTAATATTCAAAAAAAAATCCCAACATGTAAAAATAAAATAAAAAATAATAAAAATAAAAAATTTCAGTCCGCCGAACTATTTTTCTAATACCAAGTCCTGGAGGCCCATCCGAATCCCATCTGCAAGGCCTATCCTAAGCCTTTCGACTTAGCAGTCCCTTCCTCAACTCTGTAAACAAACAACACATTAAATGGGGCCCACAGCTATCCTAATCCTAATCCTCCTCTCATACCCAAAAACAAACGGGCCCTAGGGTTTAATAAAAATTAGTATATATATATAGGTTGGTTATGTAGCAATGTTTTAAAACCCGGACCGACCGATTTGTGGAATCGGGACCTGGGCCTAGTTTGGGTTGAAAACCGACCTAGATTGCCAAAATCGGTGACCCGGTACCAGTTTTGAAACGATTCGGCAGTTAGAAAATTTCTAATTTTTTTATCTTTCTCTTTTCTTTTTTTTTCTTTTCTTTTTTTCTTATATATATATATATATATATAAATTTTTCAAAATTTTGACTAAAAATCTTCTAGAGTCTTCTCTCATAGGAGGAATCTCATTGGAAGTTTGGGGAGATTATGAAAGTTTATTGGCATTTATAGAAAAAGATTTTTCAAAGAAAACTTACAAATTCTATGTGAAATTCAATCAAATTATTTGAATCATATTGATTGG